TTTTGGTCCTTCAACATAATCGCAAGATGTAATCTTAGACTATCGTTTTCCGGGCATCTATAATCACTCAACTCGTGCTTGAGCACGATTGTAACAAAGCTTTTGACTTATGTTCAAAATCTCCTTGTATACCATGGTTTATAAGTGATGTAGCAACCAATTTTAGATTTTCACGACTAATTTTTTTCGTACTCAAAAGATACTTAAAAATCTTTAAATTTGGATGATAAAGAGCCAAACGTAGTGGTGAACCCACATTGCATAGCTGTTGGTCCCGATTGGCTCTATTCACATCAGCGCCTAAACTTATTAGTAGTTTTACTAATTTTAGTTTACCATGACGTACAGCAATATGCAATGCAGTTGAGTTACATAAGATGGTTGCGTCAATATCTTCGCCATGATCAATAAGAATCCGCACTATTTCTTCATCTTGATTTCCATAATACCATAAAGCAGCCATATGTAACATTGTACATGATAAATATTGCCCATCATCAGTATGGTACAAAGGAACTCGGTACAAAGAGGCGCCATTTTCCAATAGCCACTTCACAACTTGAACCCTCTTCTTCTTGATCGCCCAGAGAAGTGCAGAATAGGAAGACTGATCTAGAATGTTGATAGCTGATGTTTCCTTAACCGAAATTAATTTTTGAATTGAACTGGGGAGCATTCGAACATCGGTATAGCGAAATAAGTATTTTAAAATTTTTGTGTTTCTTCGTCGACAAGCGTATTCAACGACTTTGTTGAATACTTCAGTCGATGCGAGTTTGAAATTTGGTTCCACTGAAAGCAGCATATGAATGATGCTGTCATCAGGAATTATTTCAACTGCGTAATGCAATATTGTTCTTATTAATCCTGATGCATTATTCCATGGAGACCCAATACAACTAGCCGCTATGTCTGCACCATATTCAAGTAGTAGTTTGATTATAGGTTTGTATCTTCTTTCAATAGCAGTCATCAGAGCTGTTGAGCCATTTTGATTGGGGGTTTCAATATCTATACCTGTTTTCAACATCGCCTCGACCGCTGATAAATCTCCAAGTTCGACAGCAGCATGAAAGTCCACCCCCGAGTATTTTGATTTTGAAGAGTGTGATTTTTTCTTGTTGAGGATCGAGTTATCTACCTTAGCCATATTTGCAACTTCGTAAGTCTGTCTGAATATATATATATATATATATATATATATATGTACTGTTAATTTGGATTGTGAGTCTTACAAATACAACTTTTTCTGTTTTATCATAACGTCACAAACAGAAAAGTCCGATAATGTTGACTGAATTCTTAATAAAAATTATAATATTGTAGATAATAATCTTAAAATATTGGCAGAAATTAAGTATTGTAGAAAATTAAACGAATAGTTTTAGCTCTGTTGAAAATCAAATTTTTAACCCTTAAAAGCATACGTTCCCCGCACGATAATTCTCATCTGTGATGAAAAAAACTCTCACTCTTTTAAGAGAGTAGCTATCAAATAAGGGTAAGTATTAAATAAGTATTTTTTGTAGTAACTTAACTAAATTTGTCTACAAATAAAATAATATAAATACATAATTTTCAATTAAATAGAAAATCTTATAGATTCACCTTTTATTCATTTTAACGAGACATATCATGCTCGCTTTGCTCGCCCTCATTATTTCAAAAATCCCGCTATTATTCAGTTCATCAATCAACAACAGAATAAAAAAGTTTGGAAAATTCAAAAGTGCACGCCTCATAACACGCATTCATTTTTTAAGAAAAAATAAATTATGTAATTGATTAAAAAAGAAAAAAAAATTATGATTAAGTAATTTCTTACAGGGAATTTTTTTTTTTTTAAATATCAGCGCCCTTTTTTCTTGTCATATGCGCACGCAGTCTAAAAAAATCTAGCTTGATCAAGTGGCGCCATAGTTTTCACGTGACATATTGGGATCCTTAGGATGGGCGTGGCTTAGGTATTAGACCTCTGGTGTTTAAAAATGAACTACTCAAAGTAGGCAAAAGTAGGCAACACATGTACACATGTATACAAAATTAGCCTACCTTGAGTAGTTACACTTTGAACCACTAGTTGGCGTATCAAAGTTTTAAGTTTCCCAATAAGAAAAATTCGTTTGTCTTTGTACGGTTGTATCGTAGTGAATTTTAATAAAAATTCAATTTAAAAAAAAAATACGTAAACTAGGCTACTGATATGAAATACGGACCCAGTTCATCGCATTCTTAAACTAATAAAAAAAGTTCGGTCTCGAAATATCAATTTGTTCGGGAGTAATCGTTGGTACATCCAAAATGGGGTGACATCCGGACGTCCACGTAAAATTTTTTTCAAAACATTTTTTTTTTTAAAATACCTACATGAAATGATTTTAGAAAGTAAAAGATGGTTTAATTTAAGTGTTTTCTCGGTGTACATCTACTTATATCATTGTATAAGTGTAATATGGTTGTGATCAATCGAGACATTTTTACGTATACGTAAATGAATAGATATTCATATATAAATAGATATGTCCTTTGATTAAAATTATTCATCATAGAACATTAAATTTTACATGTTTTTTACGAATTCTATTTAATGATGAGCTGAATTTATTTACCACATATCAAGTGTTTGGAAAATGCATTCATTTTAATCAGTTACATTCCCGCGATCTTGCAATAAGAACAATAAAAAAAAAAAACAAAGGAATCTCGAGTATTGCTAGAGTGAGCAATCGACAACATCGCACGGGTTGCACATATTATTTTTTATTACAAATGTGGCGATATATGAGGGCAAAAAATCGGGGTCCAGAGGTAAAGCCCTGGCGGGGGGTGCCCCCCCCCCTTCCCCAGTTCCTAAAAACAAATAAAAAGTTAAAAAAAAAACAAATATATTACGAATAATAAATACAAATTAATTAATATTAATGAACAAAAAATAAATTTATTTGAAACAATCAACACAAAATTAAACAGCTCAATATTGATTAATTATTTTCACTTTCGTTAAAATAAATTGTCAAATTTAAACAATTTAAAAATGTGATTTAAATTTTTTAAGTTTTTTGGTGGTACTATATCTAAAATTTTAAAATTAATATTTTCTTTGACTGTTACTGCAATGTCCATCGATGCTTCCACTGCTGCTTCATTAACCAGATCAATTTGTGGTTGTTGCTCTCTTGAAGTAGACGGTTTGGATGATATAGTACTCGCAATTTGTTGATCGATTCGTTTTTTGTTGCCCATAGAATCTTCAAGGTAGCCTTCAGCAACTTAGCTGGACTTCCATCTTCCGTCTCTCTCGATAGTAAGAAGATCAGCACCAGAATCAGCCAACAAAGTAGCTGAAGTTCTTTTGAATGTATGTCCAGTGTAAGACTCAGGATTGGCCAATTTTAAAAATTTTGCTACTGTTTTTGGCATACTACCAAAAGTGTTGATACCGATGTTTTGTGACATACATTTGCCATCTTGATAACTTACAAAAAATCGTTTTGTAACTAAGTTGGTAGGGCATGATTTGGCGTATTTTTTATAAATGTGGTAAAAATCTTCAGTAATTACAATCGATCTAGGTCTGCCAGTTTTAGTATCTGGAATTTTAACCCATAGCATATCACCTTTATCTTCCATATTGTCTACAGTTAACTCAATTAATTCTTTTCGCCTACATGCACCTTGCACCTCAAAAATTAAAGCTACCTGAAATAATTAAGATTCAATTAAGTTTGTTTATTGATTCCTAGATCACACATAGTATTTAATTAATTAAATAACCTTTGTAGGCAAGCACTGATGATTGTCCGGAGCTTCACGCAGAAATTGATTGATTTGCTCTGCACTCAGTGTTAAAGCTTTTGTGCTTTTAAAACCTTTGTTTTTTTTTTGTTTTAGAAAAGGAATCAATCTTGAGTAATTTTAAATATTAACGTTATGCTTGATATCAACCACACTGTTTATCATTGAGTACGTTGCCTACAAACTTGATGGCTTCAAGGTTTCAGGAAGTTCACAAAAATAAGCCGAAAAACCGTCTTCGACAGACTTTTAATTTTTTTTAATGTTCACCACCGAATGAATTTTTTGTATGCTGCTTCATACTTCGGTCTTGACTTTTCAGGAGTTAGATTATTAATAACCTCATTTGCTTTTTCAAAAATTTCAGGTGGTATAAACTCCTCATCGACACTTTTAGGGGTTTCTGGGATCAGGTCGAGATTATTGTCCATTTTCAACCTTTTTCTTAATTTTAATTTTTTTATTTTAATATCGTTATAAAAATATAAACTTTGTAATGTCAACCTCACTTCTTCATTGACAGTTAGATCGTGTTTTTTTTTGTTATTTATTTTAATTTTAGCAGTTTTCACAGTCAATTTGCATGCGACCTGGATAGTTTGCGTGTGCTAAGTATAATTTGCAATGAATGAATTCAAATTTACAATTTTCAAATTTGATATTTGCATTTTTCGGAACACTTTTTAAAATATTTTGGATGTCATCGTTCTCAAGAGAAATTTTTTTCTTTAGCTTCGCATCAAACAGTCCACTATTGGGAGAATGAGTATTCAGTCGGACAGGTTTTGAAGAGGATTTTGAGTGTTTAGTCTTTTTTTCCTCGATTAGAGCTGAGAAATCATCAATGAAATAATCCATTACCAAAACATGATCCATTCCAAGTAGTGATGCTTTATCTTCTGATGATGTTTTGGATGTATCATTTAAGACTGTTGAATTTATCAGGTGAGTAGATGATGATGATGTTGTTGTGTAAGCTGTCATTGTCGATGTAATTTTATTTGTAATAGTTGATGCTATTGTCTTTGCAGTATCAGTTGTTGATGTCGACGTAATTGTATTTATAATAGTTGATGATGTTGTCGGTGTTGAATAAATCTTAGGAACTTCTGTCATTGGATGAGTTATTGTCAATTGCAAGTTTGGTGCTGTTTGAATTGTCGAAGTTAATGTATGAGTCACTGTAGCCGAAGATTAACTAATATTCATGATTTGATCATAAATTTTTTTTTGTTCTGGATCGAATTTTCATTGTACCTACTGGCTATCGCATCTGACCTCCAACTTGCGTGTTGTTTAATTGTCGTCATTAAAGCTCCAGAATCAGCCAACAACGTTGTTGACGTCCGCCGAAAACTGCACTGTAAATCCAAGTGTTTTAACAAAACACATAAAGTGTTTTGTTCCTATCTTGAAGCGTTGTAGTCACTTTTAAAACACTTCCACGTGTTTTAATTTCCTATCTTAACCCTTCGTTAGTCGCGCTATGAGCGAATCGCCGCCTAACAACTACTCAACCTATAGAGACTCGCTATACTGCGAGTGAGAAACTAAAAAAAGCGCGACCAACGAAGGGTTAAATGCCCATTTGTAGTCACTTTTAAAATACTTAGATTTACAGTGATGTGACCGGTAAATTTCTTGGGTTCGGGTAAATTCAAATGTTTAGCAATGTTTTTAGGGATTTGTCCGAATATATTTTTACCGATGACTTGACGTACACATTTACCCTTCTGAAGCTGTAAAAAAAACCTATCCATATTTGAGTCCTTAGGTCGTAGAGCTTGATACCGCAAAATATTCAGAAAATTCTTCACCCCTCATTGCTCCAGCAATACCGAAAATTGCAACAACCTGGAATAAAGTTTTTATAAATACATGTAAATAAACCTATCTTATTATAAATAAATAAACATGGTCATAAATGACAATTTCAGGAACAAACATTTGTAAATGAAAATTGTTATTTACTTTTTTAATTAAATAACCATCATCCAGTACCTCATCGATGAACTTCTGTCATTCCATGAGAATACTTTGGCCTTCTTGTGGCGATGATTTTCAGCATTTTTCTTAATTAGTTAGTGTCTTCCCGTGAAAAAATATCCTGATCAGACCTGATATGGCCTGATATGGACCGTCCATATCAGGCCTGATATGGAAATTGGCCATATCAGACTTGATATGGCCTGATCAGGGCTGATATGGCCATATTAAGATGTAGACAACCCAAAAGGAGAAATAAAATTTATCATTTCTGATTTTATTTTGTTTTTTAAAAAATATTTATAACACTAATTCGTAGTTAATATGAAATTGATTTTAGTATTTTTAGTCGTTTGTCCAACTTAATTCAAAAACAGGTAAACTCTGTAATAGAGTAAAAAAATTCTACTCTTTCTGGAACTTAACACCCCGGGAAAAAATGAATTTGCCTAATCATATATATTTATATATGATTATATATTGAATATATAGAATCCACAGATTCGGTAGAATCTGGCGCCAAGGTCCGTTCAAAAATCCCGTTGTAAACGGAGCGCCAGACTACCGACTGTGTTTACTGTAAGCAGAACGGTTTTTTGAGGTTGCGAATTTAAATTAATTCTACAGACCTTTTTTTCCTTCAATAATACTCTATAATAATACCTTATGTGTTATATTATCAATATTAATTAATAATGCTTATTAAAAATAATGAATTCTATTTAAAATTAATTAAATTCACTAGCACAAACTATAGCGACCCAGATTTTTAGATTCTGACTTTTTTCTTATGGAGAAAGTGACATGCCACAGACTAAATAATTCGAGAATGCATGGTTATCCTTCTATAGATGGGAAACTACAGTTAAAAAGAGATATTTCACAGCTTGCGCCTAGACCCGCCAAGGTGCGCTGGAATTATCCACGAGGTTGTGGTACACGACCTGTCGTTCTCGTAACGAATATTGTGGGTAATAGCTAGGAGGTTGTGGACACCTGGATAAGGAGGTACTTCTTATCGGAACACCTAGGGGGAGATACGGCTGGGCGTCGGGGTACCTGACACAATCCCGGTATCTCTATATTTGGATAACCAAGCCTCTCTTGGTTGATAGAGGGAACTGGGGAGAGATTAGATAGGACCGCGGACGCGACGCGAAGTCCCCAGTAGGCTGCAAGTAGGTTACGGTTTGTCGAGAGTAATTGTAAATGTATATATTAGATTTTGGGGTAAAAGTAAGATAATACGTATGTCTATGGTTTGTAATGTATGGAGTATTGAATATTGTATAGTTGTATTGTATCTTGGTTTGCAATAACGAATTTGAGTTTATTATTATTTTTATGAGATTTGGTGAATAAATTAACCTTATAGTTGGAATCTGTGTTATTATTTGGCTAATATTAGTTAGATGTAAGTTTATCTGTGTTGCGTGATCCCCATCCCGACCCTGGACACGGCGAGCTTGAGCACGGGGAAGTCGTGTTTATCACAACGAGGCTTTCAAACCTTCCGCAACGTCACAATTTATACATTTTATCTTTTTTTATAATTTATACCGTAAATCTGTCATAAAATATATTAATTAAAAAAACTTAAAAATGTAAATTTGCTGATTCTTAGACTTAACAAACCTAGTGACTGTATAACATAATTATCACTCAGATTTGGCTTTGATTGATACTATTAAGTCAGATCCGGTTTGATAAAATTGTATCAGAACATATCAAAAAATTAGAAAACGGGCATATCAAATTATATCAAGCCATATCAGAATATATCAATAAATTATCTATAGATATATCAAATTATATCAGCCCAGATCAAATTATATCAAACCAGATCAAGCCATATCAAGCCTGATCAAGCACTATCAGGCCTGATATGGCCAATTTGCATATCAGGTTATATCAGGACCTATCAAAAATTATACATGGACATATCAGATCATATCAGGCCTGATATGATTATATCAAAAATTTTGATATGGCCATATCAGGACATATCAAGTCTGATCAGAATATTTTTTCACGGGTTTAATCTATTGTAATTTTTAATCCCGATGCTATGATTAATACTAATCATGGTTCTTAGCATCGACCAGCAACTTTTCGGGGGTGCCAACATTTTAAATAAATTTTTAAAATATACTAATGAAACATCTTCATTGATTAAATTAATACAATTTGAAGCCTTCCAGCGGGTAAATTGATCGTAGCAATTTTGTACCGTTGCACAGATTTTTAGGGTGCTAAATTTTGGATGATATCAGCCGCTTCCGCAGCAATATCTCATCGCACTTCTTCAGCTTCAGATTCTTAAAACGAATAGTCCGATGAACTCATTATTTATTTTTTTTATACACAAGTTTGTTTATTTTGTGATATTTTGATTTAAATTCTCGTATAAGAATCACAAAAAATTTTAATTTATAAAAATAATTTTAATTTGTTATTATATTATTTTATTTATTATTTTTATTATATTTTATTTAATTGTTCTGTGTATATAAGTAAACAAATTTATATTATTTTAAACTACATATATAATTAAATTATAATTTTATTGCCGCGTATATTAATCGTGTTGACAGTAAGGTCACGGGAGAAAAATTAAAACAAAAAAATTCAGTAATTGAAACTGTCACTAATTGTGAGCAGTCTGAAATGTGCAACTTTCTTTCCGTAAAAAACAGAAGAAAATCGAACTTTCAGCCTCGGAATGATGAAAATTTAATTTATAAGATAAGAAAAAAAATTAAAATGATATTGTAAAACATCCAGAAAAATTGATATAGAACACAACTAATGAGGTTAAAAAAAAACTGTCCTAAATGTATAATTTATACCTGAGAAAACTTTCATAAAGTCTTAAGTTTTCTGTCTATAAGAAAAAAAATTAGAAACCTGTTGAAAACTGACAAAACCAATGAAATATATTAAAGTTCCTGTATCTTGGATTTCACCAAAATAGTTGTATCCTTTGAACAAAATTATTTCTGGCCGGAAAAAAAATGGAAAATCATCTGACCGCTTTCTAAATCTGGTCCACACTTGTGAACTTTTTAATCTTTCAGAACTTCATGACAATACCTTAGAGATTTTTCAGAAGAATTCAAGAAATCGGTTTAATATGTTATGTTTCTAAAGAAAAGGAAAAAAAGTAGGTTACTTTTAATTCTATTTTTTATTACTTTTATTTCCATAAACGTATTTATTTCTTTTAAAATTTGTTTGAAAAAAATTCAAATAAAAAAAAAACAGTTAAATGGAGTGAAAAATACACACCAGTTGAAAGATTGAATCATGAAATAGTTTCATTTTGTAGATAGATATGCAAAATACAGATAGGCAGCCCCAAACTCAAGTAGTTCTTGTATAATGTAGCATGCACAAATATACACGAATGAAATATTCATAACAATATTCCCTTCGTTGAAACTAAACCTGTTTCGTTCAAATCTAACCAATCGTGCGAGCTTTAAATAAATGTCCTTTGTCCTTGCATGGGGAATTTGTCAGATAAGTGATTCAAACACATAAATTTACGATTTAAAAAATGGAGGATTGAGCCATTATTCATACTTTAGCAAACTACTATCTGAAAACTTATAAATTTATATTTTTTATTGAACAAAAAAAGTATTCTTTGATAATTTCTTTTTTTTTTTCTTCATGATTACATTGTTATTCATGATTACAAAAATTTTATCTGCACTGATAAAAAATTAATTCGATTGAAGGGAGAAACTCTAATCATTCTTAAGAGTTTTATTGTATTGAATTAAAACGAATAATTACTAAGATCAAAAAAGTTTCTTAATTCAAGAATTTTTCTCGAATTTTTTTCTTTAGTGAAGTTAATTTTCTTATCGGAGTAGTTAAGTAAATAAAATTCAATTAATAAAAAGATTATTATTAATTGATTTATCAAATAAAATTACATTTACTTTACGGAATGATTCATTTTTTACTTTGAACCTGAATTTTATTAGTGGATTTGCAAGAAACTAAAATTTTAACGTGAAAGATAAATTACGACTCTTACAATTGTAATTTTACAGCGCTTACTTTTAAGGTTTCTATTACTTCTACATGAGTATTAGTATATAAGAGAATAAGTGTAATGTATGCAGTTAATGAGTTGGAGGTAGGTAGGTACTAACTTTAAGTGCATAAACTTTAAGCTAGACATAATGATAATCGATCTTGTCGCCACTTTTTTCCCAGTTATATTTAATTACCTTTACAAATAAAAACACCTCTCTGTTGTCATTGTAATAATAAAATCGGTCATTTATCTGAGTATGTGTTAATTAATCAAATTAAAGTTTTATTATTTTTGTAAAGAAGTGGCTCACTTGAGTCACTATTTAAGCAGAAATATTTTCGATTCAATAATTGTTACTGAAATTTAAAAAAAATGATTTGATAGGTGTAAGTATAAGAAAAATAATTATAATAATAATAATTATGAAAATTTGAATGTGAGACAGAAACCTGTCTCATGATTTACTATAAAAAATAAATTTTCTCACCTTGGAGAAGGATAAGCGTATGATTTTTAACAAAACGCAATGGCGACTTGAAAAAGTTTCATTTTTCTTCAGACTGTAGAGAAAAAAAAATATTATTCTCGGCCGACATTATGGATTATTTCCTTTAAAGATTTCCCACCTCTGGCAAGTTTCCAGTGAAAAAAAAAATTATTATTTACAACATGTCAAAAATAAATTTCATTCCCTAATCTATTTTTCTTTTGACATTTTATATC